GGGCGGGGTTAGCTCAGGGCGGCTCCATGAGCTCCTACACACCTGAGCCGCAGATGTGCTCCACCCACTCCGGCCTGCACTACCCGCCCGAGGGGTTTAAGATGGAGCCGCTGGCACAGGATCTGCTGCCGCTGGCGCAGGCCTCCTCATCGTACTCCTTGGAGGAGCAGCAGGACGCCGCAGGTGCTTCCGCTCGACCCAAATCACAGCGTCGCGCCGGCAGTCGCGCTCCCGGCCAGGCCTCCTGCCACTGTCCCAACTGCCTGAGCGCCGAGTCTCTGGGAAACGCCGGTGATAAACGCAAGCACCTGCACAACTGCCACATCCCCGGCTGCGGGAAAGCCTACGTGAAGACGTCGCACCTCAAAGCGCACCTGCGCTGGCACAGTGGCGACCGGCCCTTTGTCTGCAACTGGCTGTTCTGCGGCAAGCGCTTCACGCGCTCGGACGAGCTGCAGCGCCACCTGCAGACGCACACCGGCACCAAGCGCTTCGGCTGCAGCTCGTGCCCGCGGGTCTTCCTGCGCGCCGACCACCTGGCCAAACACATGCGCGTGCACGAGTCGCCGTGCCAAGCGGCCGAGGAGACTCGATCCGCGGCGACCGCGGCATCTGCGACCGCGGCATCTGCGACAGCGACGTCACTGCTCAGAGTGAAGACGGAATCGGAGAACTGCGACGATGACACGGCGGTTGCGAATGGCTAATCGGTCGTAAGGGTCATACGACCAATAAGGCCTACCGTTAAACGAGATCATTCTGAAGGCGACTGAAATGAACTATAATCACATCTGTAAATGATCTGTAGAAGACGCCATTAAGATTAAATTCGTAATGCTTCTCTATTTTCAGTTTTATTTATATTTGTACATTTTGTGTTTCGTATTCTCTGTTAATTAACTTAAGATGTTGTGTTTCGTCCGTGTGTTTTTGTCATTGTAATATTGAGATGTTTAGTGAGGATATGTAATTAGCTTGAATAAATATAAAGCGTTTTGTTCATTTTTCATGTATGTCTTGTGATAGTGCCATAAAAATCAGTCTAACAATAAACACACTCAGCAATATCTCATTCAATTACATAATTTATTTACTCATTAATTACTCATTAATTAATTACTCATTTCTCTTATTAAATTTACTGCCAAAATTCAGTATGAAGGTTATATAAAAAGACAGATGATGATTAAAAAATAAGTAACGTTTAATCAAGTTAATATAATGAATATCATAAAACTGGGTTACTATAAATAAACTGCAAGTTAAGTCACTAAAAACAAGACGAGAACCAGCTACACATGCTGCATATCACTAACTAAACATGCTAAAACATGCTGAACCTCCAGAAAACATGATCATACAAATAGGGCAGAGCTTTATTGTTCACTATTCACTGTATGAATTAAATACAGAATCATTGTTATTAAAGCCACAAAAATTATTCAGTCAAGTTCAGTGAGTGATTTTCTCTTTGTCTTTTGTTGTTTTATTAACATTAAGGGCACAGACAGCAGCAGGTATATTAGGCTGCTGTCACTTTAAGACCTAATGAACGGAATATATATATTTACACACATCCTTTTTTTACTCTCTTAGTTCTTCCATGATATCCCAGGAGACTGGGGCTAGGATGATCAAGCTGGGTGGAATGGGACCGGTGATGTGATTGTCGGGAAAGAGCGTCTGCTTTTCCATTCTTGCTGCCAGGCCGATAAGTTACAGTAAAATTGAAGCGTGTGAAGAATAATGCCCAACGGGCTTGCCGGGGGTTAAGACGCTTGGCACTCTTTATATATTCAAGATTCTTATGGTCTGTAATCACTTGGAAGGGATGAAGAGCTCCCTCAAGCCAGTGACGCCATTCTTCGATCGCTGCTTTCATGGAGAGTAGTTCCTTATTTCCAACATCATAGTTGCGCTCAGCGGAGGTTAGTTTTCTGGAGAAGAAAGCACATGGATACAGAGGGGAGAGGAGAGGCAACCATACTATAATTTCGGATGAACCTCCTGTAGAGATTGGCAAAGCCTAGAAATCTCTGCAGATCCTTGACGGTTCTAGGTTTGTTGCCATTCAGTGACTGCCTGAACTTTGAGGTCATTCATCTTGAGACGCTGTGAGCTGATGTGGTAACCCAGGAATGAA